CCCCAAAACCCCAAAACCCCAAAACCCCTTTCATAAAATTTACATGCTAAAATGGAGAAGGTAAAAGACTTAAATATTATTTAATTTTATACATATTAATTGCATATATTTTCCAATCGCTTATAAAGGTGCTCCCTATCTCATGACACCGCATACACACTAGGTTCCAAAGAAAAATTGCCAGTGTAATGAATAAGACACCTTAATAACAATTTCACTGATATCAATTGAATCCTCATCTAGTCGTAATTTTTTGCTGTTGCATAATTTTTTGCTGCTCCTGAGAGAGTGTTCTGAAGAACTCTATCTTTTCCTTGTTAGGGGGTTTCCATTGATAGTTGGCTTTGAATGTGCTCCTTAGATGCGTCTCGATTTCAACATTGAAGGCCTATGGTTTTACCATTGCGTATGGGGCGTTATATACACCTGGTATCGCTTTGGTAGAGCACAAGTGATGGAGGTTTCCTGCTAATTCGGCAAATTCAGTTCTAGCAGTAGCTTCTTGACGCTTTTGCTCTTCAAGAGAAAGCGTCTTCTAATAGTCCTCGAGCTTCTTTCTTACTTCTTCATTCTATATTGATGATTTAATACTGATGCTTTATCGAAGAGAAGCCAATATAAATTGAGTTTCAGTTAAGTTGAATTGCTGTAACTTACCTTTTCTTGCACATGATTGAGGTAATTTTTACGAGCGTAGAAGTCATGCTCATACTTTCTGCTATAGTATCCTCGATAACTAAAGATATCGTTAAGCACATTGACTCATCAAATGCAAATTAAACTATCCCATCCCTGAATTGCTCTTATAATATATCTCTTCAAAAATGAGTATTTTATTTCTCATTTCAGAGATAAGCACCATAAGCAATTGAGATTGATAACAGGTTAGTTTATTTTTGAATGAACTTACTATTTCTGCACGATTTTAGCCATTTCATGAAAGAATGCGAGTTGCTTTTATCTCTTATCAGACTCTTGCTTTCTAAAGAATACCTTTCTACCTTTAGAGTAGCCTTGAAATACTCGCTGAATGAGTCGGCAACTTTTTAAAATAGTTTGATAATGCCACTTAACTTTCAACATTCTCCAGTTCTTTTAAATGTCTATTGCTGCCTATTTTTCCTTCTCACGGTACTTCTCAGTCTCACTATAGATAAATTTAGATAACAGATTGAAAAATATAGTATAATAGGGTATGAACATACATGAGAGCTTCATAGTAGGAATCGATTACTTCTTATTTACGGGCTTAACGCTGCTAAAGGAATAAAGCCATTTCTTAATAATTGTTTATCAAATTTATTTCTAATTAAATTAACAAATGTACTTTAAATTTGATAATTGAATCTTATATGGAAAAAACGAATTAATTGACACTTGAACGATAAAAAATTGAATCTCATTTGAAAGCTATTTCATAGCATATTCAAGAAATGTAGCAATAGTCGTAGCTTGAATTGGAGGCTTCTAATTCAACTGAAAGGGCCAGATTTGAGCAATCACCATAAAAAGACAAGCATGAATTCTTCAATAATGATGACAATACTATTACCGCAGGAGGACTTGAGAGCACCAGGAAATAGATAATTTAGTAAAAATTGCAAAGTATTCATACACAAGCATTATCTCAATCTGACTTTAAAGGGAATAATCTAAACAATGTTGCTAACGTATAAGGTGCGAAGAAAAGAAAGAAGCGTCACAGAGAGATATCAATGAGTGATATAATGCCTAAATTCGAAAACACTTAGTCAATGCTAGAGAATACTAATTATTACAATTATAACAGTACTATCACAAACACTTTGATGAGAGGACTTAATGGAGGGAAACTGAGTTTTCTAAATTTTATCAAGTTATATCCTAACATCGAAGAGCTTTCATTTATTGGATTTTATACTGCTCTAGATATAATGACGATCAGGTTACTTTGCAGAGACTGTGCATTGATATTTAACGAAGACTTATAATTTAACATGATCAGAATTGGGAATCTGGATGATCAAATCAGAATCAATTTTTGGTTGCTTCAAGCGCCCTTTTTTGAGTAAGTTATTCCTTATACTAATACTATTTAGTATTGAAAATGAGCTGAAAAAATTGCTTAATCTTGGTTCGATTTTTGCTAATGTTTATGAACATCTTAAGTAAATGCAAGTTTAAGATCCTGTTCCAAAATAAATTCAAAATCAGATACTGATGTAAATTATCATTTCTCATAATTCAAAATCATAGTGATTTGTAAAGAACAAGAGATCCTATAACTGGAAAAATAATCTAATAGGGAGATAGTAAGAAGCTATTTCATATTCTTTAGACTTTGGCTTTTCTATTGCCAGATATTGGCTATTGCCAAGGAATGAATTTTGTCGCTGCTGTACTATTCTCCTATTTAAAGGATGAGGAGCTTACCTTTGATATTTTCCTCTCACTACTGGCATCAAAGGATTTAAAGCCACTCTATGTAAATGGCGTACCAGAATATCACATTAGGAATTTTATGCTTGAACACCTTGTGAAATAGCATCTTCCAGAAATTTTCTATCATTTTCGCAGATTGCAGCTTAACATAGAGGTTATAACTGGTCAGTGGCTAATGACTTTCTTTTGTGGGTATTTTCACTATGACAGCATGCTTCAGATTATTGATAATTTCTTTATTGTAAGTTAATTTAAGTATATGTGCTTTTAGGATGATTGGCTAGCAGTTTTTAGAATCTCTCTTGCTCTTTTGAAGATGTTTAAAGATGATATTTTATCAAATAATGATCTTGCCTTTGTTGCTTCTTACTTTCATTAACTCAAAGATAAGACAGAAACCATACCGATGCAAGAGTTATTATATCAATCTCTTGAATTCAATATAAATGAGGATACCCTCGATATGCTAGAAAGTTAATACTTTTTGGAATAAGCAAAGAAAAAGTTAGTTGAGGACTAATCTAAATGGGATGTAAATGAAACTCATTTTCTCAGTTAAATCACTAACTTCATTAAAAAATCTGAGCCTCCACTTAAAAAAGAAATATAGTCACTATAAAAGAAACTGATTCAGATTGATCATGAACTTAAGAAGTAAGTGCAAATAACTTCCATGGCCAAAATGGAATACGAGTAAGCCCAGGAAGTTAAGGATCATATTCTCGAAAAGAAAAATATCCTATACGGAACATATACTACACTAAAGAGGGATATACATACAAGGAAACAAATGCACAAGATGACCATACTTGCTTAGATTCTTAAAAAGAGACGTGACTAGACTGTGAGTGCTTCAGTTGATTACAACATGTCCTCTGATCCTGAAGAAGGAGGAAATTCTGATTATTAAGATGTATATCAACAACCAAAGCCAAAACATTAAGATGATTGGAATTACTAGTCTCAGATTATGATTGAAAAATAGGAGACTCCCCAAAAACATGCATAAAGCAATCAACGAATAATAAACACTGAGACTTTCGACCCAAAGAAAAATGCTAAGGAAATAAAAGAACTAGAAATGGATGTATAGAGAATTGAGCATAGGATGAAGGAGAATGAGTATCTGTGCAATATATATGAGACCACCTTTAGCGAGAAGAAAAGTCTCTATGAAATTGAAAAGCAGAGATTCGATGATTAGACCGAGTCTAAAGATAAGCTGATGAATCAGATTAATGGACTAATGATGGCTTTTGAAGCATCGAAACAATAAAAGCTATCGATATACGCTGAGTATCTAAGAGAGAATTACAGGGAGAAATACAAGATCGAGTTCTGAAAGTAAGAAATGTGTTTTCTCATCTGAAAAAACTAATGCTAAGATTTGTGAATATTATTTGATTTTGAATTCAATAGTATTACTTATAGTTTGAGATTGTAATAAAATTATAAGAAGTCGTTATATTTATTGACACAAATTAGATTAATTTATTTCTTAAATACAAGATATAATTAAAGATCATTACATTGTTTGTGTCTTTCCAGCAACTGGGAGGAAGAGCTTGAATTCTGGGGGTAGCTCGTCT